AAAAAAATTCCATGCTGATTGCGCAACTCATCCGTCAATCAGCCAATTGTTTGTCAGGTCCAATCTTATTTTGAAAAAACCTTGAAAAAGTGAGTCCGCGACAAACGAACCGCGAAGTAGCGAGGGACTACTGTGCTGTTAGGCGTTCCCCGTTTTAGATAGAGGGCTGGAATCACAGACGACGTCACTCCAGATCAATAAAAGTTTCCAAACCAGCACTCTTGGCACCCGACCTGTATATCTTGTGCATGCTCCTTTGCACTGCAACTCTGGCACAACAATTTCCTGCGGGATCAATAAAGTTTTATCTCGTCTTGTCTTATAAAAACTATCTTGTTGCGAGGTGATAAATGATCCAGCTTTGTGACACAAACTGTGACCCAGAAACAGAACTCTCCGCTCGATGACTGGACGAGTACCAACCAGGTCAACCGTCTAAAAGGAAGCGTAATAAACCGTAATTAAAATTCTGTAAATAAATATATACACATCTACGTTTATAATAAAGAGGGCCGGCTGCAGGGAAACGCCACTCTGACCTCGCAGCTCGTTTCCAAACGAGGCGCTCCGCAGCAACTTGTTGGGACGATTCAGAAGATGCTTCAATGCCAAATACTCTGAAAGGTGAGTATGAAGTTGTACACAAGTTAAATTACCGAGCATCGATACAGTGAACTGCAAGGACTCGATAAAACACGTTCACATTTCAGCTTCCTTGTGCAAAAAATAAACAAAAGTTACTACTTCAGCTAATTTCAGCTGTTTTGTGCTCCTTTCAGCTTTATTAAGCTAAGTCCAACATTTTTGTGCTTTTTGCAACTTATTTCTGCTAATACCAGTTTGTTATGCTCCTTAGCTATTTCTGCAAATTCAGCTAATATTTAGCTGTTTTGATGATAATTTAACCTTTTTTCAGCTAATTCTACATTTTTTTAACATTAATTCAGCATATCTATGCTTTACCCAATTCATTCAGGTAGATTAAGTTTATTTCTGCTTGTTTTAGCTACTATTCAGCTGTTTTAGGCAAATTTCAGCTTTTGGCAGACAATTTCAACCCTTATTGAGCTAATTTCTGGTTCTTTCAAAATTAATGGGCACAACTAAGCTCACTTCACTTCCTTTAGGAAATTTAAGTTTCTTTCTACATTTTGTTTAGCTACTATTCAGCTGTTTTTAGAACATTTCTGCTTTTTCCATATAATTTCAACTTTTTTGTGCACATTTCTGCTTCTTTCAGCCTATGTGGGTACATTTCTGCTCACTTCACTTCCTTCTGGTAATTTAAGCTTCTTTCTACTTGTTTTAGCTACTATCTAGCTGTTTATTTCAGCTTTTTGCAGAAAATTTCAACCTTATTGAACTAATTTCTGGTTCTTTCAAGATTCTTGGGCACAATTAAGCTCACTTCACTTCCTTTTTGGAAATTTAAGCTTTTTCCTAAATTTCTTTAGCTACTAATCAGCCGTTTTGGGGAAATTTCAGCTTTTTAAAGATCATTTCCACTTCTGTTTTCTTCTTTTAACTTAGGCTTGTTCTTCCCTTTCAACTAGATTTCAGCTGTTTTTCAGCAAGAAGCATTCACACTGCATTTCGCAGGAAATGCAAATTCTCTAGTTTAGGATGAAATCTGAACCCTGGTCCTCGAGAAACACGATTTAGCTCATTTTAGTCATTTCCGTGCTCTTTAGCACGTCCTCGAGTTCTTCTGTCAAAGCATGTACTCAGTCATGTTGTCAAGAAGGACAAGCTGTCCACAAGGAGCAGCCGCTGAAAACGAGCCAACGATAAAAACTTACAATCTTCCATCCTTGAACGAGCGGACGAACACGTTGTCCTTCTTCGCAGTCACGTCCTCGTGGCAGTCTGGGGAGATGACCTTGATGCAGAGAAACAAACGGAGCCAAAAGGTCACAGAAGAACACGAACACGTCTGTAGTGTGAGGAGAACAAGCGTCAGTTTGGTATTGAAGCTCATGCTGAAGCCGGAGTGGAGGAACTGGAGCAGCTGGAGGGTTGATCAACTCCTGGACGCCTGCAAGCTGGAAAACAAACGGTGAAGCGCCCAGCTCGTACACGCGGTCCAAACGTTTTGAAGCGCACGCCGCCGCAGCTGCGTGTCATCTGTTGCATGACATCCCACCAGCGTATCGCTCCACCCCTCCACCAGAAGGCAACAGTGTAAACAACGCGTGACGTGGTTCTCCGGGCCGACACGGGGAGGCAGCACCGTGCTCTCGGAAAAAAAAAAAAAAAAAAACTGCAACCAAAAACAACACATGCAGGAGGCGGGGTTCTGCTGAGCACATTTAAAAAGAATCCCCGCCCGTTCTCCCACTTCCACTTGTAGCAGTGACACGAACAACAAAAGCCCGTGGCCGTGCGCCGACAGGGACAGGATTTAGACACAGATGAGAAATTAGTTTAAATTAAAAAGAACCGGGTCACATCTTGGCCCTACAGGGGCCTGGAAATAAAGCACTCCGACCGCTGCAACACGCGTGTCCCCACATTTTCATGGTGGCTGCGTTCTAAAGCGATCACATAATCCTGCTGAGCGCTGCGTTACATAAGCGGCGTTTTGATGAAACGGCACAACGCTGCGACCGGACTGTCGGATCAGCAGCAGCAGCCTCTGGTTCCTCGCCGCGCTGCAGCTGGGAAATAATAGCAATTAAAAAAAGGATGAACTCACCAGAGCAGGATACCACGCAGCCTTCTTCTTGTCACCGGGGGCGGCCCCCTCCACGCAGACCACCTTCCCGAACAGGTCCTCATTCGGCCGCTGATCGCTCTCCTCTTCCTCGCTGGAGGACGAAGACAACTCCTCCTCTTGACTGCGGGAGAGAAACGACAGTCTGCTCCACAAACTGAACTGAAGTGAGGAGGTTCAGAAGAACTTAACGTGGAGTTCGTTACATTTGGGAGCTTCAGGTCGGCGTGTGCACGATGTGACGCAGCGAACTGGAACCGCACGAAAGACGATCGACTCACGAGCTCTAAAGGTCAAATACGCCCGTGGTTGTGGTTTCACTACTGGGAGGCTCTTCTTTATACAGTTTATTTGGCTTTTTTTTTTCAAATTCTGCTGTTTATTAGTTACAAACTTGTTCACAAGCCGCAGCTTCATACCAGCATCCAGATGAGACCACAGCTGCAAAATAAAACCAGTAACGAGTTCATAAAAACACCAACCAGAGCCCGGTAACTAAAACATCTTCATCCACCTCCAAATTAAAGATTTCCAACAGGTGCGCATTCAGAAATTATCCTCCGTCTTATAACTCACCAGTTCCTTTGAACTCGACCCTTTTTCTCTGGCAGCTACAGCAGCACCGGGAAATCCCTTCATGTAATGTTTGTCATCGACAGCTTGGGGATTCCCCTTTTTAAATGTTGGGCTGGAATCCCTGATGACATCACTTCAGATTACCGTAGTTTTCGCTGTATAAGTCGCAGTTTTTTCCAGGTTGTCAGCGGTGACGCATAATAGATGCGACGTGTACGGCGGCAAGTACGGTAATAAAAAAAACGAGTTTTTAAACCGGTGCCATCAAACAAAACTGTCTTGTTGCCAGAGGATAAATCACCAGATTTCAACAAACTACGCATCATTTTGAAGCTTTTGAGATGGAGAATTTGAAAATGAAAAAATAAAAAATTAGCTCGTTCTGACTCATTTTTCCAGCACAAGTCACATCTGTTGTTAATCCCAGCTCTGCTTATATTTAGAAGTCGACCAGTACGAATATATGGATGACTGATCATTAAAATCAGGACAGCAGATGACCAACATATAATCTCATTTTTCTACGTTATGTTTTTCCTCCACCAGGGATCCTGAGGGTCCTAGGACTGAGCTCTTCTGGACAGAGGCCTCTGAGGTTCTTGCTGGGATCTGTTGGAGCCACTCTTCCAGTTTGGGGGCCACAGCACCAGGTGCTCCAGTCACCACTGGGGCACCTGACGCTTCGACTCAGCTGCTGGTATTTCTCCAGCTGCTCCTTCTTCCTGATGTTACAGTCATTTCATATTTCTTCATGGATCACCGCTGCCTTCTTCTCCATGTTGCCGACCACCACAGTGTCCGGTTGGTTAACCATCACCCGTTGGTCGGTCTGGATCTGGACGTCCCACAGCATCTTAGCGCTTCCATTCTCCACCATCCTTGGTGGCGTCTCCCATGTTGACTGAGGGACGTCCAGTCCATACTCGGCACAGACGTTCCTGTTTATTATTGCAGCTACTTGGTTCTGGCGATCCATCTCCTCCTTTGGCCACGCTGATAAACCAGCAGGGCCTCCGACAGCTGGCGCTTTCTACGTGTTGATGCCTTTGTTCTTACCACTAAGTTCAGGACCAGCCTAACACTCTGTAGGTACTTGGCTGTGTCCGACGTCCAAGTTAGTTTAGTTTATTTTTTGTGTACTGCTTTAAAAGGTCATAACACACATTTTCCAATCAAGTTGCACGTTTTTAATCTTTTTTTTTGTACGAGTTTCTGCAGGAAACCAGTTGAAGTTTATGATGAAAACAAAATAACAAATAATAAGTGGGATGGTTCAACCTTTATGCCTCTGGACAGTTAATTAATAATAAATCCACGCTTGTATCTCATCGATAAAAAAGGAAGCAGCCAGATTCTCCGGACCAATCTCCTCATTTAGCTGCCTCTTCGGCTTGTAAACACCAACAGTCTTCAGCACATCTCCATACTCTAGTCTTATCACAGCGCGGTGAAACGCACCGACCGGCCCGCTCGTCAGGATCAGCGCACCAAACGAGCCGGAGCCGACAGAAGCCCGGTCGGTCCTGCAGCCAGCAGACAGCCACGTCTCTAACCGATCGTACGAGAAGCACCAGCAGGCAAACGGATCCCGTGTCCTCTTTCTACGCCTCACAAGGCCAGCTCTGTGCGCGACTCTGTGTGCGTGCGCGCGCAGCGTTTGGCACGAGCAGACTGCAGTAAATCAGTCAGGCTGCGACTACAACAACAAGAACAAGAAGCTGTGAATCAAAGTCGTAAACAAAGCACTTTAACTACCAATGAAGGAGAGGCCAGCGTTCGTTTAGCTCTGAGCGTTAAAGACAGCTGTTGCAGACGGTGATTTACAGCCACGCTGCTAATACTCGGATTTAAATCAAGCTGCCTGCACACGGAAGTAGCAAGGTTAGCTTAACTTTGCACAAAAGCAGGAAACGCTGGCAAACTCTAAAACTTTCTAATAAACACATTAGACTTGTTTTTGCAGGATAAAAACATTTAACAGGGTTGCAATAAGGGTGCTAATTATACAGACGAGCTACAATGTATCGTTTGATACGGTTGAACTTGTTAATCCACCAGTTTTGTCATTTCTCAAAAAGTCAAACGACCGTATTTTTCAGCGAATAAGTCGCAGGTTTTTCTGCATAGATTTGTCAGTCCTGCGACTTATCTACGTTTTTTTTTTTGTCCATATTTATAATGCAATTTTTGACTGATGCTTTAAATTTCGAATAACTGCAACAGCGAGTTCTCCCGTGCACGCTCGCTTCATTCAGCTGGTGCAGGCGGAAGAACGCGTGACGGATGGATTTGATGGATGGCGCCGCGCTGCCCAGGAGAAATGAAGCTGTAAATAAATGCATAATAAACACGACGGATCAGCGGTGACACATAATAAATGCGACTTCTACGCCAAAGTGACTTGTATGTTTTTTTTTTCCTCTTCACGATGCTTTTTTTGGACTGATGCGACTTATACTCCAGAAAATACGGTACTCCTTTGATGAAAAAATCAAAACAGCAGCAGCGTCTGCCCAATCACGTCAGCGCGTCTAATCCTGGAGTTGAAACACGATCAGGATTTGGAGGGACAAAAGGTCTAAAGGGTGCTAATATGCAGCTGAGACCGTTTCAAGTCAATATTGCGTCAGTGTTTAAAAGCAATATTGACTTTTCTGTGGGTGCAATTAGAAAGCCAGAGAATAAGGTTACGTAGCCGAGCGTCCTCTTTATATACACACAATTATTGCCACTACCAACTAAACCCTGAGCAGCCTCTATTCCCTGATGACAACGGTTTGGTTTCCCGGGAGCCTCAGAGAATTAGGAACACCCACTGGAACATCTGAGTCTAAGGAAGAAGAAGAAACAGATCCCATTCAGCAGGATCACACTGCTCGCACTGCGTCACGTGAGCCCCGCATGATTAAGGACTCAAGAGACTCTGGATGAAGCGACGCAGCTGACAGCAAATCTTTAATTTCACAGATGGGATAAGGAGCGAGTCATCAGAACCGGCATCAACCATATTAGGTTAGAAGAGAGCGTAACTCACATCGGGTTTGATCGTCGACCGCGGTTTCCTTTCTTTCCGATGACAGGGGTGCCGAAGTGCTCGGGGTTGGTGAGAGGGAGCCTGTCGAGCGTCTGCAGAGACGAGAAGCCGCAACACAAACCATCAGCTGAACCCAGGACCTCTTCAGAAGATTTTACAAACTCAGCAAAAACCGTGTATTTTCCTGCCATCATGTTCAATCTGAATGTGTAAACGACGGTTCGTGGATTGATTTGCAGAGCTTTGTTCCCCACTAAAGCGGAGTTAGGCAGTTGTGACGCTACTCGCCTCGCTTTCCGCAAAGTGGCGTGCTCCTTTCAGGCAGAGAGAGGAACGCCTCAGGGTCTTCTCGTCTCCGTCGTCGAAAACTGAAAGATGAGAGACAAACCCGTTAGGCTGCTGTATGTGGGCCAGGAGTCCATCAAAACGCACAAAAACACAGTTGGACACAAATAAATCCCCTTTTCAGTTCCTGCAACGTCTTTTAGTGAAAACAACGTTGTGATCGTCTTCAAAGGAGTTCGCTTTCAGCTGCCAGAAATAATCAAAAGCAAATCTGGAGAAGAGAGGGACAGGGGAGATCTGAAACACTTCAAGAGTGAGCAGCGTTCGCCGTGTTTCCATCAGCGAAGGAAAAGAATCCAGATGTGGCCAGATGAGTGCTTTTAGGACACGCAGAGAGAAATCCTCTGGGTGTCTTTTAAAACACAACAAGTTTCAGTCAGAGCTGCAGTGAGCACACTGGTCTGTTGTTATACTGCCTGCTTAAAGAAAAGATGCTGGTAGCGACTTCAAAAAGTTTGAGAATACGCTTTTCCCAAGTTTCAGTAATTATTGATCAGTTGTGGACTTTTTAAAGACAATATAGACGGGAAAAAAGTTTGATTCATTAAGTATTCATAGACACATTATTCAAGTATTTACGTTTTAAATCTGCTTCAGCAAACGGGCTCCGTTTTTGTCTTCTGCTACTTTTAGCTTCTATCCACTGTTCTGTTTATTTTAGTTATTAACTACCGTTTTAATCCCCACGGGATTTTAAACATCTGTTAAGTCCAAAGCAAAAATCAATGCAGACATGTTCCTGTTTTTACTATTTTACATCGTTTAATAATGTAGCATGTTTTTAATTTGTTTTATATCACAGATACTTTACTTTTATATGCTTTTTATGACTGTTTATTGTTGTCTGTACCTCATCTGTGTTCTTTGTTTAGAACTTGAAAACGAGTTCTTGTGACTCAATGAGACAAACCTGTAAGAATAAAGGTTGAATGAATGAAAATAAGATTTTAGCTTTAGCAACTATTTGCTATCTTTAGCTACAGCTTTGCTAATTGTTGCATCTAATAATCTCATTTTAACTTTAGCATGTGTTTTGATACTTTTCGTTAAAGTTTTACCACTTTAAGCATGTGTCTTGATTAATTTAGCATTAGCATCTGCTTTTCCATCTTTACCTATTGTTGTTGTTAGCTCCTGTGTTGCTGCTTTTAGCATCAAACTCCCATTTTGAAGCTTGTAGCTCCTGTTTTAAAGCTTGTAGCATCTAGCTCATGTTTTAAAGCTTGTAGCTTCTAGCCCCTGTTTTGAAGCTTGTAGCATCTATCTCCTATTTTAAAGCTTGTAGCATCTAGCTCCTGTTTTGAAGCTTGTAGCTTCTAGCCCCTGTTTTGAAGCATGTAGCTTCTAGCTCCTGTTTTGAA